TTCTTCGTTCTTCCACATTCTGTATATCTCGACCATTTTGCTATCGCTTACGCCAGTAAATATGCTAGTAGTATCTACTTTTCCAACACCAACAAACATTGTGTTCAATTTTGGCTGTGCTACCGACATGCAGATATGTTGTTGTCAAAACTAACTGAGATTACCTTTAGTCTATGTAGAATTTTGTTTATTGTTGATGTATTAACTGGATGCAGTACTGTAGTAAAATGCTGAGAATTCCATTCTGTATCACAAGTACTGTTTTGGAATAAAGCAAATTATTCTTAGTGATAGAGTATATTTTTTGGTGAAGATCGTTTAGTTATTGTATTCAACTCAACGCACTGTAAACTCTATGTATACAGAATAATGTACATGTCAGTAAATGACTCTTTTTCCATTAGAGTTCAACTTTCATCCTTCTTTTTAAAAAAAATTATTCACTTAGTTATTTGAGGGTAAACGTTCTATGCTATAATAACAGCATAAAATAAAGCAGCGATAAAGTTTTCTTCGTCAAACGGGTAGTGTTATAAACCAAGAAGCACAGTTCATATAATTTAGGCTTCAAATTATGGACATATTAGTCTACCTTAAATGCCATGGGACTTAATACTTTCACTTTTCAAGAAATTTATTTTGAGCGTTGGTGGCACAGTGGTTAGGACTCTCGCCGACCATGCACATGGTCCGAGGTTCGATCCCCCTGATATCTATGGTCGGCCTGCAAACTTTGGGCTACCGATATCCATGCTGAAAATTCCATACTTGTACCAAAAATACAGTGTGGAATCAAGCTGTAATAAAAAATAAAAAATATACTGTAATCACTAATACTGTTCAAAGTGAACAAGTTACCAAAAAAATTCTTTTATGAATAGTAGTTGAATTAAGATGATTTCGCTAAGAAAATAACAATCAAAAATCTTTAATACAATTTACGCTTGTATGCACAGCAAATACTCCGTCCGCTGTTTCATTTTCTGTTTTGCTAAACATAAATTAAACACTCTGTCTTTATTACACATGGCTGACATTATATTTTTTTGGCGAAATAAAAAGATACGTCATTTTTTGCATCATACATATCACAAAAGAAAAAAATTGCGAAATGGATCTGTTAAACAGTTCTCTAATACCTCGAAATTCACTGAGTACTGAGTGCGATACGAAAATTCCAGTAAAGCCTGATGTACTTTCACTATCATGAACAAAGTATTTTTTTATTACAGCTTGATTCCACACTGTATTTTTGGTACAAGTATGGAATTTTCAGCATGGATATCGGTAGCCCAAATTTTGCAGGCCGACCATAGATATTTGGGTAACATAAGTAGTTGTGAGAAGTAAAAATTACTTTCAGCTAATTCGATGGGATATAAACGGTAGACGGTTCTTAATACTGAACTCATTTTCCAAATTTGCTAATTAAAATACACAAATCACCCAAATATATATATATATATATACATATATGTTAATGGTTCAGTAGTAGAATATTCGCCAAACACACGCATGGCCAGGTTTCCAATCCCCGGTTGACACACTCCTTAACCTCACTTAGCCAGTGGTAAGACTGGTAAAGCAGAAAAGTTAGGCGTGTGGCCGTAGCTTCCCCACCCTGTAAAAATCAACTTCAAAGGGCAAGCTCGAAGCTCTATGTCCCACTGGAAAATCAGAGGAATAAAGTAGATAGCTATTGTCTTTTTGGATCATAAGGGTCTCTTTTCATTTGGGTAATTTATGGTAGTCAAATTTTCGTTATCTATTAACACTGGACCACAGCCAATGGTTAGTAATGTCTGTTAAAGATCTTTCCATTCTGATTCTACTTCTTCTGCCTCATAGAGTGGACGGGAATTCTCCTATATTTTAAACTTGAATACCACCATATTTATACATCTGAAGAGAAGTCTATGATATAAAACAATTTCATAATGTTTTCTTCAGACATTGTTTGGTTCTAGGAAGCCGACACAAACGTCCACTGAAGAAGAATGATAAAAGAAAGGAAGAAAACTAATAACACGAAGTTCAAAGCTGTAACTGATTGAAATACAATTAAAATGATATAGGTCTTTTCAGTCATATTTATACTTGACGAAAATGTAAAGTAGTTCATTATTGAGTAATGGGGGTAATATAATTGCTTAGAAGTGGCTTCGAAAGTAAAAATAAAAGTTTTAAATTACATAATACTCAACGGCACAAAGGAAGAAAGCATCAGAAATTTGATAAGGTTAAAATCGTTATTGGGTGAGAAAAAAGGCAGTTGAGTGTTTATTTAACAAATGTAAAGAGGGCGAGAAAACGTTCAAAAGGAACATGTGAGGGTGATAACAGTGAATTAATTGACGAAGTAAAATCAAAGAAATCATTAAAAATAAAAAAATTGCAGGAAATGACTAATGAAGAGGTTAAGACCATGGTGAAATAAGAGGCTGGACAAACGTTTTATGTATAGGGTGATCAACCTGTCATCAAAGGTGTTTGAGGTTGTGTCGCCAACTCTTCCACTGTACAAAATGCCGAAACCTGACGCCTTCTGTACCATTTGGCATTACTTTGTAGGTAATTTTGAAAGAAGACTCTGGTGGAGCTGTGAGGCTTGAGTCCACCAATTGCTCGAGAACTGAGCTAGTAACTGTCTTGCATTGTCCTTTCACTAATCATGTCGGATAATGTTCAGAGTCAAATTTGGAAAGTTTGTGCTTTGTGCGGCCAAAATAACTCCACACACATTGGAGTGGTTCAAAGCGGTAGTTTGTTCTTCACACATCCATTGATCATTAGTCAGCTGTAGAAATTGATCCGTAGCTCAGCGTCAAAGAAGGCTATTCTCAGCGATCTGTATAAGCGGTTATTCAGAATCTCAGCTGCGGTATCATCTTTAAATTCAATGTTCACAGGTCTGATATTTTATTATTTACCAGAATGATTTGCGAGAAGTATATGACCTATTGTCAAAGCTATTTTATTCCCAACTATCATTTGTCCTGTCCTTACGAAAGTCAGTGAAATTCATAGGTTACTAAGTTTTGCATGCATATGTATTCAAATGCATGTAAACCACCGAAGCTTTCACAAAAGTAGGAGTTTCTTAAAGCTTTCTGAAAATGCTGGACAAACTCTGAATTTCACCGTGATGTAATACTAGTGTATTTCATTTATCCTTCTTTGGTAATTACCGTTTTTGTAAGAAAAATCGGCCGATTATTTTTACACCGGTAAAAACAGTTTCTTCGCTTAGGAGAATAATTTCTGTTTAGATACGCGGAAAAAGCAGACTGAATTATTCATCAAGGGCATCTGTATTTGAAGATTCAATTCACAAGTTTACACAACTACCCACTAGCATCATTTGTGTATCTAGTAATTGACAGCATTTGTTAAACAATAACCACAAGCTGAATGTTATCGTAGTGAATAGCCAATAATTAGAACTGGAAAAGAATTTATATATATATATATACGCGAAATTCAAATCAGAAGTATTTGTCTTTTGCACAGATATTCATAAATGAATGGTAATTGTTATAAATAAGATGAATGGATGGGATTGCTCTTGGAAACACATAAAGATTCTTAAGTATGGACAAAAACTTGTGTTTTATGACGAAATATTTAGCACTCTTTTTTAGTCAAAATATATAAAGTATCGGTAAGTAATAGTCACTAGACGAAAGAGGTGATAAAGTTAAATGGACAAAATGTTTTACATCAAAACTGCATCTAAGTATTTTCTATGTAGATGGCAACGGACCTAAGGTTATAAAAGTTTTAAAGATGGAGTGTATTAAAGTGAACTTTGGTTTTATAAGTGTCTACAAATGATTAATTGTAATGAAATGTAGGGACAGTGTTGATAAAGATCCTCGTTACAGAAAGCCTTACGACCTGATGTTTTACTATGAAGATAAATTTGTGTCAGTAGCATCTCAAAGAAAAAAGTGGATTTCTTGCAGCTAAACATCAAATGATACAGCAACGAATAGTTAGGAATTACTCGCATCCATTGCCAGGGCTCGCTAGACCTACAAAAAGAGTCCAGACACCACACCTCTGTTTCCCTTGTTTATTGCGGGCTCTTCAGAGGTGTCTAGGACCGAAATACTTTTCTGGCGCTTAGTTATCATTATTACTTACCATTCAGAAATAAAATGGTTAGAAAATGTGGGTGTAACTGCATCTGATATTACTGTTTCCTTTCCGTTTAAATTTGCTCTGTATCCATCGATACAAGTTAATGAAACCCAACCTATCATTTATATGACGATTGCAAATAAAATTATTCTTGTCAAATGCTCCAGACATTAAGTGACTAATTTATTCTAAATTATGTATTATAATATATTTATTGTGGGCTACAGTTACCTATTTATAACATTCAATATAAATTATTAGATTTAGGAATCTCATTTTAGTGAATTATTCTTTGATTGATTGAAGCTTATTTCTAAGTGATTTTTGTGCAGTTATATTATTCATCTTTTTTAAATGAAAAATCTTCAAGTTTGTTTGTGACAAGGGTTAAAAAGTGATCACGCCAATATAATGAAAAAAAACATCAGTTTGTGATGGGTGTCTGTAAAATAATTATGAATCATTCACAGACTTACATCAAATGCTTGCCAGTGACGATCAGTCTGAGTTTCTAACAGATACCATTTCTTAACTAAAAAGTGCTTCATTCAGAATGTATGACTTTATACCCTAAATTCTGACAAAACAATAATAGTACGTGCTAACCGATTACAATTCCAAAATTAGCATAGGAGTTATTGCAGACTCATGGCTGACAAGGTTTTTTAATATTGTATCTCGTGCTATGCATAAAAGCTAAGAACACAAATAACCAATCAGAAAACCGTTTAATAAAAATATACTGTTTAAATTAATTAAATAGGCCAACAAAAGTGAATTGCTTAAATATTTCAACTAATAATTAGTGTGATTCATACATATAACTTTTAGCCCATTCATTTAAAGTGAAATCAAATATGGTTTCTTCGAATTTGAAAGGGACATTTGCTTTCTACGGAAGTGTTCTAGCCGGCAAAGCTTTACTTCTGGCTGGATTAACAATAGCAAAACGTTTACAGAGAAAGGTATCATAGTAATCTTTCAGTTTTTAAATAATAAAACCACTGAATAGTCATTTGCGGGAAGTCAACCTCATCCTGAAGTTAGAGCTATACATAGGTAAGTTGACTATAATCTTGTCCCATGAAAATATTTGATTTTCGTTTATTTCCCAATAAAGATGTCATGCAAATGATATAGAGAATTTGGTACCTTTTCTATTTCTTGGATTTATCTACTGTAAAACAAATCCATCGGCTAAAGTTGGAATATGGCTGTTTCGAGTCTTTGCTTTGTCACGCTTTCTACATACAGCAGTCTATTTATATTCGGAGGGAACTTTTCTCCGTGCACAAATATTTCTGGTCGGATACTTTGTGAACGTTTCTTTGGCGTTAAAATGTATTAGTTATTATTCAAAAATGTACTAACTGCTGAATATATCTGTGTATATATACATGTATGCTTCACTTCAAGGAAACAGTTTTTTAGAGGATGATCCTTGTCATGATACAGCAAGCAACTGACATCTATCATTTCTCTTCAGTTTCACTTGTCCCCGCGTGATACTGAAAGCAGTGATTCATTTTATAAACGCTTTGAAAAACGTTGTATAAAAATGTATCTAAGATGGTTTTCCACTGCTGTTAATCTGTTTTCATAAAGATAATATATTCATTTTAGTTTCATGCATGTTCATTTTAACTTGTAATAAGAACTTAAGTAAAATATTATGCTTCTTAACTTGTTCGAACTCTGCTTTGTATCTACATACATCAGTTGGATTATGGTAAAAAGGGGCAGTTATATATATGTTCATATACTCTGATCGTCAGCAGATTCAAACTAGGTTGTCGTCAATAGCTATGCTGTAATATATTATCATTCCCTTAGGCTCGAATTCGAACCTGGAGCTTTAAAAGCACACCACCATCTCATACTCTTCCCTGTAATTCATTTAGGCTGCTCCACGTCACTCACTGCCACACGCTCAACTGTTCGTTTCCCACTCGGTTTCCAATCAAGGGCCTAGTGCAGGATGTCAGTCAGCGGTTGATGAAGGTTTATGGTACAGCATTCTGTAGTGTCAGGACAGCTTCCTAACTACTTTGTGGTCAACACTATCGAACGCCTCCACAAAGTCGACGGAGTTGAAGGAGAAGTTTAACTAGCATTCTATACTCTGTTCGACCAAGATCGTGACGTTGTGATTTGACCAGCACATGACTAGCCTTTGTGAGTCCAGATTGTTCCGTTTTGGATTTTGAATTCCAGTAGTCTTTCATACTCTCCATGATGACATGACTTCCTATATTGTCTTGAGCGGACAGGCGCAGGATTCCGTGCCAGCTTCTGCAAAGATGTAAATTGACCTTCTCTGGTTGGTGTCATTGCTTTCCTGCAGACTTTCATCAGCAGTGACATGAGAATACCTTCCGGGGAAACTCGATCTGTTTCCAGGGCTTCCAGAGGATTTGTGTATGGTCCTTCTGCCGTCCCGACTGGATTCCACTGACTTTGAGACATTTGTGACTTCTGCCTTTGTCGGAAGATGCGTGTCCACTAGCAGTTCTGTGTCTGTTGGTGGGCTTTCTCGACGCTTTGCAGGTGTGGGTCGACTCCAGCTTGTCGTAGAGCGGTCAGCCGATTGCTTCCCTTGCCTTCCGGCTTTGGTAATTAGATTCCCTTCACTGACACTGGTTTCTTCTGTGTTGGTGCTTCCCGGACTCGTAGCCTTATTAACTGGCAAAGTGTTCCGAGGCTCCTCTTGCATGGGCTCTGCGCTTGTTTGGTTATCAGTGTGTTGCAGGAGCGTCTCTTTTCTTTCTCAACATTTTGTTTTGTTCCTTCATTCAGTGCGTTCCACATTGAACTCAGCTTCTGCTTTCACCATCCATATTTGAGCAAGTTTACGTTTTGTTTTACCTACCCTCTCCTCTCTTTTAACTGCCATGTATCTTTGGAGAGCTATTTCTTGTTTTGATTCTACTTTCCTGTTAATAAGACTACACATGTTTGACATAATATAGCTCTCAAAGAATTTCACTGTTCTTGCACACAGATTTCCTCATTGACGCTACGTAATGTATTTATCTGTTTCCTTATGACTGCTGATAATGTGTCACTGGTAGTTTTGCGCATTAGTTTCCGAGCACTGAAATTAAACTGTAGTCTATTTGCAGCTTCTGTCACGTCTTTCAACTTGTTCATGGACGGTATTTATAGTAGATGATGGTCTGGCACCAACTCTACTCTTCTGGTTGATTTTGTGTCTAGGAGGCTACACGGAAGATGGGATCTAATTTACTTCCTCTTTACAAATTAAACAGGATGAGTTAGGCATTACAGACTGTAAAATCAATCGAAAAGAGGATATTAGGTTAGATAGTAGCACAGACAGAAATCCGACACATTAATAAGTGCCTAGTATTTTATTCATCACACTCAAAATCTGTAAAGAGTTCGCATACAGTCGACCCAAGAACATAACTGATCAATAAGAAGATCTAAATAATGAAATGAAACAAATAAATAAAACACGAGTAGTGAATAACTACCCTTCAGGTTGCGATGAAAAATGCATGAGTACCCATAAGGAAAATAAGAGCAGTAAGTTGGATAGTGAAAACTATATATATATATATATATATATATATATATATATATATAACACGGTATTTGAAACCTCAGCAGTAATGTAACGACAGAAGACAAGGGCCAGGCAACACATCATTTATTGAGCAAATCAACAGATATTTATAGATTTTTAAGTCCATTATTATTCGTTATTGTTAGCAAAGAGGTAACAACTTCTGATTGGTTGCTTTCCTGCTGAAGGTTATTCTGTCATCTATTCATTGCCGTTTCTTAGACAGTCCGTTGATATATCTGCTAATCGTATCCGCCCACACTAAGTCTGCTGTGATTGGTTGTTTAATTAGTCTTTGTTTTTGTTTTTTCTCACGACCAAGATATGGGACGTAAACATTGACGTAAATTGCTGTCTACCAATTTTGGCTAGCAGACAGCTCTCACCACAGTATTATTACCTGAGGAAGAAACATTGGGAGCCCTATATAGGATCCTTTATGAGGCTGGAATTAAGATAGCTTTAAAACCAATCAGCTCTCTCAGAAACGAACTTTGTGGGCTTAAAAGCCCTATAGGTCCTATTAGGATAATTAATAGAATTTACCAAACACCATGTAATGACTGTGAGGTTAGTTAAACAGGTCAAAGTAGTAGATAAGTATTGTTTAGACTATCGGGACATAGGAAGTTTGCTAGATATAGAAAGAATGACCTTTATAAGTTAAATAATGTAGAAAGAAATTCGGTTGCAGCAATGCATTCATTTGCATGTAATCGCAAAATAGGGTGAGTTGGGGTGAAAGTATTGAAAAGTAATTTAGTTAGGTGGAGAGAGAGAGGTTAATCACTGAAGCCTTGTTCATCGAATCAACACCTCACAAGTGCGATCGACATGATGTAACTCCTACACCATATTTGTGGGAAATTACAATGAATAACAGGTGGGAGAGAAAAAAATACGTAATTCAAATTATAAAGCTGTGTGAATGCACCAACATGATTATGAGCAATAAATTGTTAGAAACATCATCCAGTGATTAACACTGTATCACTCTGTGTTATATCAGATAAACTTATCTAATATGGAATGTGTGATGTACACGCTGAAAGACAGAAGGAGCAAATGAATGACCAAATGATTTAGATAGATTACACAATTACAATTTAAGGTAATGAACTGCTTTAAATAATGATAACTTGTGAACTGTATGGTGGGAGAGGAAAACTGTCAGTTGTTAGACTTGTCTGGGGATGGCCAAAATATAGAAACAGATCGCAAAAATTTCTCCTGAACACATGGTTTTGGCTTCTGATAGTGAATTATGCGTCTGATATATGATCAGTATCTACAAGTTTTGCTGAGACAGAGGTACGATTGCACTTTGTTTCACTTCTTGCTTAACCACACATGACGATGTTCCACTCAACGATACGCCTGATTTGGCTGATCCCACATGAGCTATGAAAAAAAACTGGTAGATGAAAATGGCGAGGGCAAAATTAGACAATTCATTCACATTTTTTGAACGTAAAATCGGTTCGGTTACAAATAGTTGTATTACAGCTTTGCTGAAGATGTCACCACGAGAGTGAAATTTTAAGAAGAGCAACTGTTTAAAACTCTTTGCAGCCTAATTTCCTTTAACAGCATATTCATATTCTTATCAAGGAATTTCTCTGGATATCTAATTTCACTCACTAATTCACTGATAATATTTAGCTCTTCACTAGGGCTGCCATTCAAACAGATTAAACTATACCTAGGGGATCAACACTTTTTCAGATTGCTTTTATATTTCAAAAGTACAAAACGAGTAATGTGACGGACTGATGTTGGATTTCTACATGTGCCCAATTTTATCTGTCCACCTGTTTTTCTAGTTTTCTGAATATCCAGGTATAAAATGTTGCCATCACTTTATTTCTTGAATATACATCATTAAATTTATCCAAGGTAAGTGTCATCATATAATGATAAGTTCCCATTCGCAAATTACACCTTGTAAAGGTCAATTGATGGGGAAAGTTAGACGTTTCCTAACTCAATATATTTTCTTCAGAATGTTTGAAGTTGTACTCCCCCCCTCCAAATCAAAACGGGGCATTTTAAGAGTAATTTGAGGTGTTTGTGAAGAGTCTGATTTCACTTCAATGAAAACTTTCACTTAAACACAAATACACTCAAAATATTCCCAACAGCTTCCTAATTCCTAATCTGCAGGTGATTTTCCTGTTCACGGAGGAGGCTCAAACCAGTGACATTCTACTGGCATTAACTTTTTATTTCTCTCTTCTGGACTTCATTTCTAGCCTCTGCGTCATCTAGATAGACACAAAAATTGATTTCAAAATTATGTAGAAGATTTGTAGCTCAGGTAGATGGTAATGGAATGATAATAATAGTTATGTTTCCTTAGCTTTGCCAAGCTTTCAATGTCTTTCTGGACAAAAGATCTTCCTACCATACTTGATGAATACCTATGAAGTCCATGCAATTTTTTTTCGATATTTTTAAAAAGAGATGTCACCTACATATTAACAAAATCAATTCAGTCACGACTATGTCAACCTAAACTCTCAACAACGAAGAAAGTTTGGACAGAAATCATCCGTATGATAATGTGCAACAACTTTAGAAAACATTATTTCGCATCCACAAGCATAAAATTGTTGTCAAATGACATAATTATTTTCATTTCATCAGCACATACAGACAACTGAATATGCCAGTTTGACTGAGAAAAATGTGCAAATCTTACATAAAGGTGACAATCAAAATGCCAAGTAATTCCTACAAGCCAGTCAACTAGATTAACTAATAACTCATATGACAAAGATG